CAATTACCCGGGTGCACTGCAATTTTGTCAGCTGCCGCTACCGGACACCGGTTGTTATTGGTGGTATACATTTTTGCCTGTGACTCATAGTTTTTTGCATTTTTATGTCATTAAATCCATCAATTATATCTTGTACTTAAAGATCATGTTTTGTTGTTTCTTTGTTGGAAGTTCGCAATCCATCTCAAAGTAACAACACTGAGAACATAGCGTTCTGACGTTGTTGAGGGACGGTGGTTTAGGTTTGTGTTATAGTTATATAACTTTTCAGATGTTTTTAATTCAGTATTTTTCTCAATATTCTTCCAAAATTCAACCACTATATTTCCCTAAAAATCAAATAATACCGGTTTTATGTATTTCCGTATTAAACCTGTAGTCAATTCATGTTCCAGGGCCACTTGGTTTAGCCGTGCATTATCAGCCAATATACCATGGATTGCATATGCAAATTTTGTGTTTGGACCAATCAAATCAATGGATTAACACCATCAAAATACTGGTATAATATAATAGATTGATATCCCATCCTGATTGCCACACCCATGTCATATTAGATTGATATCCCATCCTGACTGCTACACCCATGTCATATTAGATTGATGTCCCATTCTTACGGCCACATGTCATATTAGTCACTTCCCAGGAGTTGAGTTGTCTGGAATTAGCTTAGAACATGTCATGAGACAATTCTAATTATTTGCCATATTTTGGGTACAAACAGTAAATTTAACAGAAAACACTTCGGCCCTGTGTATAAAAATGATTGAACGAAATTAGAACATTTTGAAAAAATACCAGCTTACGTCTGGTGATCTTCTGAATCACTGCAGTATAGTTACAGCTTCTGTTAATGATTTTTGTTTTTTCCAGATCATGTTCACTTTGTTATCTGGTTTATTCAAATATTTATTTCGGAAAGATGAATTCTTTATATTAATTCTGGGTTTGGATAACGCTGGAAAGACGGTAAGTAATTGTATAGAGAAATTCTAAATACAGATACAGTGTTCTCCACAAAGGGTTTTAGGTGGGCCCATCCAGTTTTACGTCTGCCTAGTAACTCTGAACACCCGCCCACCAATGTACATCCAGTTGAAATTATTTGTAAAAAGCTTGCATTGTTCTTCCCAAGCCTAAACAAAAGAGTAGTTGCCCAACCCTTTATTTTGCTATTGTTTCAAAAGTCCAAACATAAACAATGACCACTGGAAGTCTGCCAGCAGTTATCAAGTGTATTCATGGCAATGAATGTGTCAATCGCCTGGATTCATTGTCGCCTGACATTGTTGCCATTTATTGCGCACAATATGCAACTACAGTGGTTTCAATTTACAGCTGTATTTTTAATTATTGTTTTCCGATCACGAAAGAAGGAAGTAAATACGAACGAAATGTATATGCACAGAAAATAAACAAATATATTAGCAGATTGCATGTAAACTGGAACAAAAATTGTTATCGTGAAAACAGCATGGGAAAGGCTGATGACCTTTTGGCCTACCCCATTCAGCGACCATCGGCCACCCACTGCTGTTGGCGCTATAATGATTTAATATCTAAGTTGCATAGGGGAACAGCGCATTCTGGGTGTTTGTGTACTGAATTCGGAAAGCGGTAAAAAACACCAAACATGGCTGCCGGATTAGTTTACCGCGAGTATTTATAATTGGCAATTGAATACATATTTTAGTTATCTTTTCCACTTACTTTTTTCAATTTATCAATTTTTTATGTTGAATCTTTCGAGAACATAGCAGCAGATTGCTAGCATTTTTTCTTGAATTTCAAAACAACGAGTGAAAACACAACGTGTCATGACTGTACATGCGTTAATGTATTGTCCGTCGGCACGGGTGAGTACTGATGCCACAAATAAATATGTTATGGGTTTTATTTTGACAAATTGTTCGTTTTGGCTTTGGGGACAAATCACCTCGTATATTTTCTACACTAGAACTCAACTATGTTTTGTACTTGCTCTTCATTACTCGAATTGCATTTCATGAACGCAGAATAATTTGAGAACGTATAAATCACCGATTTCAAACTTTCGTAAATAATGATATTGACCAATCTAATTGTATTTCAAAAGATTGTAACATGTTTCAATTAAATTAAAAAAAAGAATAGTAAATAACTTAGTGTGTATTGCAGTTCATGACATAAATGCTAGAATGTTGTATGTAAATGATATGCAAATTAAAATGCAAATTTATGCTAATATGCCCGCCCACCAGCTATTTTGGGTTGTCGAGATAATAGTGAATTCAATTAAAACACTTATCCAATGCATTTATGTTTATAATTTCATTATTAGTCCCTGTTCGGACGTACCGGTAGTTCGAAAACGGGGACTTATGTTTTGACCTCCATGTGTCCATGCGTGCGTGCATGTGTGCGTCTGGACCTGTATCTTAGAAATGCCTGGACCAATCACAATCAAACTTCACACATACATCATACATGATATTATACATATGCACGTCAATTTGTTTCACGATCTTATTCAAGATGGCCAAATGGCGACCATTTTTGTGCTAGAAATCATCAAAATCAAGTATTTTTCAGCTGTTTACAGATGGATTTTGTTCAAAATTGGTATATACGTTGACATTATAGGACCTTGATGCACATCATTTTGTTTTTCAGATTAGATTCAACAAATGAATGTGGTTCTCATGCCATATGTCTGACTTGCTTTCACTGATTATGTTCTAATTTTAAATATTCATTATACATCATGTCATAGATAGAGATATTGGTTTGATGATCCTATTCAAAATGGCTGAATGGTGGCCATTTTTGTGCTAAAAAATCATCAAATATCAAGTGTTTCTGGCATTTATGGATGGATTTCGTTCAAACTTGGTACATATATTAGACATTACAGGTTTCTGATGCACATCATTTATTTTTCAGATCGGATTCAAAATAGCTGTCTAGCAGCATTTTGTTTTACTGAATGAGCTTCTAGACTCGTATGTCTGACTGAATATGTTCAAATTTTTAGCTCCGCTGTCGACTTTGTCGAGCGGAGCTTATCATATGAGTGATTGTCCGACGTCGTCTGACGTCTGTCATCCGTGTCAATGTTTTACTTTTTCGACTTCTTGAAAACTACTAGCCTGAATGCTTTGATACTTAGTGTATATGTACCATGGGTAGACCTCTCTTAGGTTTGTTGATATCTTTCAATTTCATGTTGATATCTTCAATTCTCTAATTTTGGTGAATATTTTTGTCATTTTTGGTAAAAAGTGACATTTTCGACTTCTTGTTAAAAACCGCAAGTCAAATTGCTTTGATATTACATATATAAGCACTACATGTGAACCTCTCTCAGATTTGTTCATTTTGTAATGATATCTTTAATTTTGGTGAATATTTTTGTCATTTTTGGTAAAAAGTGACATTTTCGACTTCTTGTTAAAAACTGCAAGTCCAATTGCTTTGATATTACATATATAGGTACTACATGTGGACTTCTCTCAGATTTGTTCATTTTGTAATGATATCTTTAATTCTCTAAATTTGGTGAATATTTTTGCCATTTTTGGTAAAAAGTGATATTTTCGACTTCTTGTTAAAATCCGCAAGTCCAATTACTTTGATATTACATATATAGGTACTATATGTGAACCTCTTTCAGATTTGTTAATTTCATGGTGATATTTTTAATTAGCTAATTTTGATGAAAATTTTCGTCATTGTTGGTGAAAAGTGATGTTTTTGACTTCTTGTTGAAAATATTGTTCATTTTCTAATGATATCTTCTGTTTTTTAATTGAAATGTGCATTGCTAACAGTGGAGCTACCTCAGCCGACCGGCTGCTTGTTAATATTCATTATACATCATGTCATAGATATACGGATATATTGGTTTGACGATCCTTTTCAAAGTGGCCAAATGGTGGCTATTTTTGTGCTAAAAAAATCCTCAAATATCAAGCATTTCTTGCATTTATGGATGGATTTTGTTCAAACTTATAACATACATTGGACATTACAGGTTTCTGATGCACACCATTTTATTTTTCAGATTGGATTCAAAATGGCTGACTGGTGGCCATTTTGTTTTAATGAGCCATTAAAAGCCATGTCTCTTAAATGCTTTGACTGATTATGTTCAAATTTTATATATTCGTTATACATCATGTTATATATATACATGTATTCAAAATGGCTGATTTTGAATGCTGTTTCAGAGCAATATCTCTCAATATGGACAAGTACTTGTTTGATGATCAGATACAAATGTCAATCATTTTTATGTTAAAAAATCATATTCCTGACATGGTTATATTCCAGCTATATTACTATAAACAAAACTATATATCTTAAATTTGATAACTAACTTTCTAGATTATTCTTTCCAATCTATGATGATGTGTGATCGATATCTAATCAAATGTCAGAAGATCACATGCTTTGATTTTAGTATTGTGCATGACCACTTCAGTAGTTAATTAAATGTAGTTATAAATGTCTAGTGAGGCTATGCTGAATTATGAAATAATTGAATCAGTGAGCATTTGTCACTTTGGATTTTAGGTATTAACTAATAAGTAATATACTTACGTTCCAAAATGTGCCATTTTCAATGTCAGTATGTGTGGAAATGCATACATCTTCCTTAGCTTACATTTATAAATGAGAAATAGTGAAATTTATTTCCATGTCAATTGATTGTAAACATTGTTGATAAAATAATGTAATCAGTAATTACAAAAACATTAGTTGACATTCGTTGTTATGCAGCAAAATCAATGCCATCAAATCATGCTGCAACTTCTATATTGATGCAATATACTTCCGCAATGCATGACAAAGTCGACACAGCGGAGCTGTTCATATTAATGATTGTCTGTCGTCGTCGATGGTTCTTTCTTAGATTTGTTCATTTCATGTCAAAATCTCAAATTCTCTATTTTTGTCATTTGTGGTAAAAAGTGATATTTTCGACTTCTTGTTAAAAACAGCAGGTCCAATTGCTTTGATATTATACATATAGGTAGTACATGTGGACCTCTCTTAATTTTGTTCATTTCGTGATGATATTTTTAATTCTCCAATTTTGATGAATATTTTTGTAATTTTTGGTAAAAAGTGATATTTTCAATTCCGATTGCTTTGATACTATACATATGATACCTCAGGTAGACCTCTCTTAGATTTGTTCATTTTCTAATGATATCTTCAGTTCTTAATTGAAATGTGCATTGCTAATAGCAGAGCTATCTCAGCCAATATTCACAATGGACAAGGTGTAATAATTATGGTATGTTTTAATGTGTGAGCTCTTTATAAGTCAGTAACCGAATCCCATTACAGTTGAAACTGCACGGATTTCATCACTGAATGGGAGCAAGTAATCATAGTGTGCAGCACTATTCACAAGAATTGTGTAGAAAATTAGCATTAGAAATGATTCATTTTCATCTACCCTTGCTAAAACATTTGTTTTCAATAAGTACATTAACCATTTTTGTCCCAGATTTAAAAAAAAATAATAATAATATTCTGCATACAACAACCCCCTTACCCAAATCCTATATAACTAATTTATTTAAAGTCCTAATCTAATTTTTTCTTATCTCTACATACAGTAACATTTCACTTTCTAACTGTCAGCCATCACACATAAAACCTTCTTTGTAAAACGTTTAAAATGTCATCTTTCATCATGTCATATAAGATATTAAGTTGTCATTATCTCTGTAGACATTTCTGGAGCAGACAAAGACACAGTTCAACAGAAACTACAAAGGCTTGTCACTCAGCAAAATAACAACCACAGTAGGATTGAATAGTAAGTGTCCTGTTATACATCAAACCCATACCTTTCATTTTTATAAATATTTATAAATTTCACAATTAAAACTGAAACTATTGGCCAATGAAATAATATTTAAACATTTTAAAATAATGTCATTGAACACTGTGCTCGTTGATTGGATTGAACTGCCATTGAAATTAATAAATATTTTTGTGTCAATACTATTTTAACAACTATGCTTAGTAGTTTATAAACCTGGATGGAATTCAGATTTCCATATTAAAACTCTCCACAAGTTATATTCATGTACATGTGTTTCCAATTTATTTCAATCCTCTTCTGCAATTCATTTATAATTTGTTATGGAAAAATATTCATTGAAATTGAAGTTATGGTGTTGCTGGCTAGGAGAAATGAAATGCATAATACATGTATCTTGAATTTGGTCGATTTGTGTTCTAAATATCTTTCTGTGTCTGACAACTAGTTTACAAAAAAAGTGTCACAACATGATGTCAAATTCCTGACATCAAAATGCATTCCAGCTGTGATAATGCAGTATACCTAGTTTCTTTAATTTTTTTGAAGAAATATGTTTGTCCGAATATATAATCGTAAACAAATAAAAGTGAAAGTGTTAGGATGTGACGTCAATAACCTGTGAATCGTAAATGTTTGTGACATTGTTTATCGTATATTTGAATGTGTTATGAATGTGCTAGATGTATAAATAAGTATAATAATATATAAGTTGTAATAGGCTAAAAGACCAAATATACTTGATAGCAGGTCAATTTAGTGAGCTCAAGGTAGCAATTGAAACATAGAACATTTAAAAAACAGCTTCTGGTTCATAGTTAAACAACCATAAATATAATTTGAATATTGACTTTTAATTACTAACCTCAAAAGGTCCTATAATGATAACAAAACTACAAAATGGTGAACATTTATCATGCCTCTGTCACTATAAGAAAACTCCACAGTAACCGATCTACCCATTTATATGTACCACAATATAGGTGTATATTCATTACTGATTTCACAGACTAACCAACAATACCAACAAACAGTATTCTCCTGTTATCTGTTTTTGATTGACTGTAGAGGGCGCCACAACACACAAAATATCTCACGTAAATGTCAATATGTGTTCAAGATGAAAAGTTTTCACAACAGATGACCCATGTACAACATGGCAAGTTATTTCTTAACTAAAGCAAAGTTAGTCGCAAAGCAAAAGGTTATTACCAGGACAACTGGAAAGACCCAAATGGGAGCAATATAAAATCTACTCTCATTGGAATTCCCTCTCCTGACTACCGATAACAAAAGTATCCTCGGTTGGGATTCAAGACATTCCATGTTGCTAAGACACGCACCACTGTACCATGTATTTCTATAGGCCCTGTGCGAGCTGCTGTTAATGCTAATCGAAGAGCTGGTGAAAATAGCTAAATTCGACCAAAACAACCAAAATCATATATGTTGCACATGCAAGGGGTGGTCTTGTCACACTGAACAATTATTTCAAAGTAACATTTTTTGAGAGTTTTGGCCTTTGTTTTCACCGTGATAGTTGCCAGATGGTGAAAATGCCCAGATGGTCACCCCTGAGAATTTCAGAATACAAGGAGCGTTCAATAAGTAATGCCCCTGACCCATTTCCCATAGCAGGAAATTATTTAAACTTGGCACAGTTATTAGTCTTTCTCTACATAGGAACCACTAAGAGTTATGCATTTCTCCCATCGTTTGATGTAGCTCTGGACACCGTTTTTGTAGAACACCCCAGGCTGGTCCTCCAACCACATTGTAAATCAAGAAATCAAGGCTGCAGCATCTGGGAAACGCTTTCCTTTCAAAAACAACTTCATGGCTGGGAAGAGATGAAAGTCAGAGGGTGCAAGGTCAGGAGAGTAAGGGGGATGGGGGAGGATTTCATAGCCACACGCCCATGCTCTGATCTGGCGACATGCGAGTTGTGGACTAGAGCGTTGTCCTGCAGGAGGTTACCTTTGCTGATCTTGCCCTACCTCTTGATTTTGATAGCTTCTCTTAATTTCATCAAAAGTGAAGCGTAATAGGCTCCTGTAATTGTGGTACCCTTTGCCAGGAAATCTGTCATCACTACTCCGTCCTGGTCCCGGAAGACTGTGAGCATGACCTTGCCAGCGGAGGGCTGCACCCTTGCCTTCTTTGGAGGTGGTGAGTCCAAGTGCTTCCACTGCATTGACTGAGTTTCATCCTGTGCAATCAGTCTTTCATTAACGGTGTGAGCAACCCTGGAATCCATCTGGCAGACACCTTATGCATACTAGTATGCAAGTGGTCATGAATGATAGTTTCGACAGACTCTGTACTAATCTTGACCTCTTGGGCTATTTGACGAACAGTAATGCGTCATTCTTCCAAAATGGCTGCCTCAACTTGACGGACAGATGCCTCATCAATGGCAGAAGAGGGACGACCAGGTCTGGGAGCTGCTTTCACAGACTTCCAGCCATGTTTGAATTCACGATGCTAGCGTTTTACAAGGTCATATGATGGGGCATCATAAGTTTCTTTCATTTCATCAAAAGTCTCCTTTGGTGTGCGTCCTTTCAAATACAAAAACCGGATCACTGCGCGACATTCAACTGGCTCCATTTCACACCTGACTCAGTTCAAACACCTGTAAATCAGAAACCACAATTAGTTCAGAGCTGTTTTGTGCAACATAACCCATAGAGATGTAAATCATGACACATGCAAAATTTCATCTAGATCAGACAACTGGAAGTGGGTCAGGGGCATTACTTATTGCATGCCCTCATACTCCCAATGCAGTCTACTAGGGACCCATAGCACATTAATCAAACTAATCTAATACAAGAAATCCTTTTCCAATCCTAAACATTATAGGCTGAAACCCTTGAATTAATAAGAGTTCTGGTGCAGTCTAGTTAACTCCCACTGTCATCTTTGAAAACTGTCAGTCTTGTTATACACATCGTTGTGTGTTTTCATTGATTAATAATAGAATATAGAGTTGAGCAATTTATCACATAAGCCATGCAGTACAACATTAAAATAACATTAATTAATATAAATTGTGTTCAGGGCAATATCCATGAAGTGAAACAGTATTAATGTCAATAGTTAACAATTACATGACAACACTGGAATCAGAAATGAAAAATGCTTTCAAGTACCATAAAAAAATATCAGGTTAATACCTATCAACTGACTCAATTCAGTGAGCATTGCCAAGGATTATTTTTTTGGGGGGAGGGGTTGACACTTAACCATTAATGGTGTCAATTTGAAAATTGCAAAGTCATCTTATTCATTGAAAAAACAATATAATTATTAATGTATTCTGTTTTAATTTGCAGTGTTCAAAAAAAAATGAGTTAAATTTATGTCCTTTAATTCACACTCATTTTATGCAAAAAATAATTAGTTTGACATAATTCTCAGTTGCATAATTTTGAATTATTGATTGCGTCTAGATTATTCTAACAAACCACTAGTATATGTATTTGGGGGGGGGGGGGGGTAGTGTACCGGTATCTAGTGTTAGGATTGTCCATGTTGGGTTTAACTTATATGTCAGAGCGTTATTATACGGGAAAATGTGAATACTGGGTGGGTTGGTGGGTGTTCTAATTAGTTTTGTGTTTATTTACATTTATAACAATTACCTAATTTGCCTGTGGAAAAAGATGGTTGCATTGTTGCATCTGTCTCCAGAGGGCGCCATCTATTGAAATCTAATTTTGTTAAACGAATCTCAGGGATGACAAGATGATAACTTTATCAGGGGGCATGGACGAAATGTCAAATATGTCAACATTTTGAGAAGCTAAGTCTCTCTTTAACCCTCTGTCACTGAAAATTGTATGTGTTATTTCCTATATTAGCGAACGATTTCAACAAAATGGTGACCATTGAATGTATAACACTATTGAATTAAACTGTGTATGTTAACTTGCATATTAATTAATAAACACCTTTTGCTTGTATGCTAGTTTTTCAGTTAAGATAGAGAATATTGAATTCACTTCACATTGGAGCATTTTCTAGCATTTGAGTCTATATTATTTTGATATTAATACATTGGATCATGTAATATTGTCATCAGATTCTTGTATTCATTTTCATGATTGTCTTAATGGGGTAATCTGTTTTCATATTTGGTTGCTCCATGACAAAATATGGTTGTGCTGGACAACTGTCAATTCAATCATTGTATTGTTGTGTTGTGTTAGAGACTGCTATCTCACCCAGTCTGAAATGATGATACATCTCTGTTGTGTAATTTTGTTTATAGTTGGTAAGATTGATATTGGATCAGTGAGATTGATGTTTTGGGATTTAGGAGGTCAAGAAGAATTACAGTCATTATGGCATAAAGTAAGTACAACAATGTCACAAACACATCAACAAAACAATTTTAAACTATATTCTATTTCTATTTTATTTGAATTTAATAATAACTTTATGACATGTCAAATTAAATTAGATCTATGCAACATCATACATGAATTTCATTTTTGATAATTAGTGTGCCTGATTATGAAAAATGATCATAATCATGTTAGTAAACTATTCCAGGAGAGGCCCATGTCAAAACAAAACTTAACTTGTTCTGATCTGGATAGCTTTTAGCAGCTTACATACCTATCATAACACAGAATACAAATATCTCAGTAATTGATTGTTTTTGATAGTCATATTTACAACTCATGATAGGTTTATTTAATTATTTGTTAGTATTATGCTGAATCCCATGGTGTCATATTTGTAGTGGATGCTACTGATGAAACTCGGCTTGAAGATTCATGGAGAGCATTTGGTAAGTTATTATTCTCAACTCCAGCTGAAATTACCATATATGAAATACATTAACAATTACTTGTTTATTTTTGGATTTAACTTATTAACCTATTATTATTTCATTTGTTGTGCTACCGTAATCCTCTTATCAATTCAAGCCCTCTTTTAATTCACTGACAGTAATTGAGACATTTAAATTGCGATTTGTTTTTCGCAATGAATAACAATGAAACAAGTTTACTTTGTATGTTTTCCTGTGCATCATTCTGTCACCCCTCTTTTACCCACGAAGAAACAGTGAAGTCTTCCAGACATGGCGTGGCGTGGTGTGGCGTTGTCTGTATGAGCCTTGATAAAGACAAGTGCGTCTTTGTGGGGTCAAACTGGTGTCATATGCTAATCACTTTCACTGTTGGTGCAGCGTGATTTATGTTTGGCTGGCCATTTAGACAAAAACAAAATTAATGTAAATGAACTAGTAACTACAATTTTCCTACCCCTGTGCCCATAGTAATTTGACAGTGGCACACTAACATCCTGTAAAACAATCGTGTATCATAATCAGTCATTCAGCTTGTCTGTCTAAAGGCATTTATTGTTTACTGTAAATATGCTATATATAGAGGAGATAAAGTGGAGACGGGCTTATTTTAAATATGCTAATGAGGAGACAAAGTGGAGATGTGTTTGAACACAAGTGTGTCTTTGGTGGGATCAACATTGACCTGTCATGGCTGTAAAACAATCATGTAATCAATGTAAAGTATTCCAGATGTCTGTCACTGTCTTGCCATGATTTTTGACCGCTTGCCATTTATCTAGTCATGGTGGCGATTATTTGTGGTGTGAAGAAACGCCATTAGAAAATAAGTATTGTGTAATTTGTAGTGCGAATGTATTCAAATAGATTTATGTTTATGAATCTTGTTTCTTTTCAAAGTGTATTTATATACTAAAAAGTGTTTATGAAAATGTTTTTTTAGATTTTTTCGATGGATTGAATTTACAAATGAGTTATTTTGTTATACCATCACTTGAATTATGTGTTACGAATTTCTGAATGGGAAGACATTTACTGGTGTACAGTGGACATCGATAAAAGCAAACGTATTTCGAAAGTTGTGAAATCATAGTACTGTTTCGGCATTATACGACTTGCAGTTCCCTTTTGATGGATTTTGTGTGACTGGCTGTGTTATTGAACTGTAGTATTATGTAAATCTTCCCTTTATGTTAATTTCATTGATTATGAAAAGGCATTTGATAGCGTTAACCGACCAACACTGTGGAAGCTTATGAAACATTATGGGATACTACACAAAATTAACAATTTTGTAAGGAATTCATACGAGGGATTGTCATGCAGGGTAA